CATTCATTAATCTCAACACTGCAAAAATTCCGTGACGTAGCGGAACAGAGAAATTTTGTTGCGAATGAAAAAAAAACACCTCAAAAGTGGCGAAAAAGGAAATAATGCGAAATGTAAAAAAAATTCTTACTTTTTTCCATTTTTCTTTATAAAATATAAAAAATACCTGCAACAACTGTTATTACTTCATAGTCTGGATCTTTATCTAGGAAGTTGACAACTTTTCCAGTTGCTTTGACCAGTGTTGCATCGTTTGATGGCCAGTCTGCTGGCAATTTTGAACGTGGTTTCTTTTCCTGAAGTTTGGTTCACTTGACCTTAATTTCATTTCGTCAAATTTGGGTTGCTAAACATCTGGTGTAGTGGTAGGCGTAAATATGCATCTATTTTTCCGAATTATCCGGATTTTTGAGATTGTTTTTGAAAAAAGCTAGTAACGGACTGCTTTATTCGCTCTCACTGTGACAGTATTGGGGTGAGGGAAAATAACCGTTCTGGGTTTCGCGTCTGGTAACGGAAGGAATGAAGAATTTAGTGGAAAAGAAGAGAAATACGAGCGAAAATTAAAGCCAAAGGCTATAATTTCTATTCTGGATTTATGCATGAATGAAGACTTTCTGTATTTCATCCGATGCAAATAGATGGCCGAAGCTGGAGAATCGCAATGCGTAGTGATTTTGTTCGTGAAAAAAAAAAAAAAAAAAAAAAACTAAATTCAAAACCCCTCTGTATTTTTCTCCTCTCAGAAGAGGAAGCACTTGGAAAGTAGCGGTAGCGGAGTAGATAAATTAATGGCAGCCATTTTTTGGCTGGGCGATCTTTGGGGTACCATATAATTTTTGTGGAGCTTTTTTTGCTTTTATACTATAACGAGTGCCGTCAGAAGTTGAAATTTTCTAAAAGCAAATAAAGTTTGCAGTACAAACCCATATTTTTGGGTACAGTGGAGCCATCCAGTGAAATGGCAAAGCTGAAACGAGCTGTGAATACCCAGAAGTGCATCCGTGCTGGCGGTAAACATAACGATCTGGATGATGTTGGCAAAGATGTCTACCATCACACATTCTTTGAAATGCTCGGCAACTGGTCATTTGGAGACTATTTCAAAGTACCACTTTATTCTGTTTTGGCATTTTGGTCAGCTTTTGATTCATCGTTGTGTTTTTTTTTTTCTCTTCATTGACGGGGTTGGCAATTTCTCCATTCTTTTCTCTTTTGCGCTTCTCTCTTCTATATAATTCCATTTGAGCAAAATTCTACCACGCTGGCGGCAGTCCATTTACTTTTTTTAACAATATCGTCAGGGAAATACAGAAATATTCATATAAGCCAGTATTCAGTAAATAATTCCGTGAATAATGAGGTATTCTGTCAATAATGAGGTTCAGTTTTGATGCATTTATGAACGTATTTCTTTTAAAATTATTTGAAAACCGATTAATTTCAGCTCGAAGTGTGCAACTGGGCTTGGGAGCTGCTAACAAAAGTCCTGGGAATACCAGCCGATCGTCTGTACGTATCATATTTTGGCGGCGATGAAAGCGCTGGCCTTCCAGCCGATGATGAGTGCAGGCAAATATGGCTTAATATCGGGTTATTTTTTCATGTTACTGTCATTTCCTGAACTTTTTTTTTGGTATTTCCTCAAAAACTTGTTTGTTTTTTTTCCGATACTCATTAAATTGCCCCGGCTTCGTCTCTTTTACGTTTCAGTTTGGGAGTTTTATGCGGTATTTTTGTAAATTTCAGATTACCATCATCACGCATTCTGCCATTTGGCATGAAAGATAATTTCTGGGAAATGGGTGACGTGGGACCGTGTGGCCCGTGCTCCGAGATACACTATGATCGTATTGGTGGTGGCCGAGATGCGTCACATCTGGTGAATGCCGATGATCCGATGGTTGTCGAAATTTGGAATCTCGTCTTCATGCAGTTCAACCGGTAATTCCACTTTTTTTTCAAAAAAGCATCTTTCGATTGCTAGTTGATCAGCTGTTGTTTCATTGTCTCCCGTCTCTCACTGTTGAAGATTTTGGTGGTTTCTCGATTTATCGTTGGGGTAGAATGGGATCGGTTATGATAGTTTATAAGTAATAGTACAGTTAGGGATAGGTAGTAATGAAACTGTAACAAATAATTTAATAGAATATAATGAAAAGGCAGAAATAAATAGTTATAAATGGAAAAACTATTTTTTTTTTTTGGAATGTTTCGGTCCATTAAGTCACACACATTGCAAAACGGTATTTTTGTCTTAGTTTTCTTCAACCTGTATAATTTTTTTAGGCATTTAAGCGGGTATTTCCACCACACTGGTGGCCTATCTACACCCCTTTAACATTTATGCATGTATTATTCAGTAATCCGCTTTGCCCATTTGTTTATTCTTGGCAAATGACCAACCCGAGTGTTTTTGTGTTTATTCCTTGACCAGTATCGCCCATATTTTTGTGATGTTTCGTGCAAGAAAAGCCCGAATAACTTCTTGATTGATGGATAAGTTTGCTTTTTTTGCAGAATATGCTAAAATTTACTGAGAAATTATAGGGAAGAAGGTGGCGTATTAAAACCACTGCCAAAGAAACACATCGATTGTGGTCTTGGACTGGAACGACTTGTTGCTGTTATGCAAAATAAAACCTCAAATTATGATACTGATCTCTTCACGCCCATCTTTGAAGCCATTCAGAATGTTAGTTTTTTTTTAGTATCATTGCACGGGTTATTTCAGAAACGTTTTTTTCGAAATCGCATTGGAAACTTTTTATGTTTGTTGGGTAATTGTTTGTTTTTTTTTTTTTTTTTTTTTGAGTGAGCCATAATTTTATAACTTTTAATAAACCTAAGGCAGCTTTTAATTCATAGACTGATTCCAACCTTCCTACTGGTAGTTTCTTCACTTGCTTTGACCAGTGCTACACCGCTTGATTGTTAGCCTGTTGGCCATCCTGACGTTTGTTTCGTCTTTTGAAGGCAAATTGGCAAAGTTTGAATCGTTTTGAGACTTTTTCAATATGCCGTGAAAACCATTACCCTGAAATTTACCACTTCTAGACTTCGACAAGGTATTTTTTCGGCGAAAAGGATAGTTCTAACTTAAATCAGTGAATAAAAAATGTGATTTTTGCATAATTTCCTCTATTTTCTGCCCATATTTTTGGTAGTTTACGTTTTTTTAGCATCAGTTCACTGAGCAGCCGTCCCATTTGCATACAAGTTATTTTCCTTTTGTCTTCAGAATACACGTTGTTTTCGCAATGTCTGACTGTGTTAATGCACTTTAGGGGACAAAAGTACGGGCATACACGGGAAAAGTAGGCGCAGAAGATGTTGATGGCATTGATATGGCTTATCGAGTAGTGGCTGATCACATTCGCACACTCTGTATTGCTCTTTCTGATGGTGGACGACCAGACAGTACGGGTCGCGGGTATTCGTGAATTTCTTGAATTTTCGCATTTTTCACGACAAAATAGTTCAGCAAATAAAATCCCTTGAGCTAATTTCTAGTTAAGCAGATTGCAGCTTCCAGCTCAACCCAGGAAGTGCAGATGGCGGGGTGTAAAGGTGTAAGAGAAAGTAGTAATGTAAATTGATGGTGAGAGTGAGATAAGACGTTTCGGTCCGTTAAGTCATGTAACTCAACACTGCGACTGGACCTGATCACTCTGACGGTTGCAGTGCGTAAGGAAAAAGAAGGAATGGGAAGAAAAAGAAAAAGGAGGAGAGAAG